CATAAAAGCAACCCCTGGTTTATGAGTGTAGCTTCATTACGCTATTAGATTAACATCACCTGCATCCAATCTAACTGCTTGTAATGTCCTGTACCAGTAAAGTAGGGGTATTCTCATATCGAAATTCCATTTATTGCTGTTAATGAGCAGGGGATTCCTACGGAGAGGAACAAGCATGGACCTGCTCTCTTTTAACTCTTCCAAGCCCATGTCGCAAACAGCTACAGAGGAACAAAGCTGCAGATGATAGCAAGTTTTATATTTTTTATTTTTATTCCCATGCTTGTGCTTTCCATTTGCACCTGCTTCCCAACTGAGTTGCTTTAATAATTAATATAGCGCTTTTCTGGACACTCCACTCAAAGTGCTGTACAGGTAATGGGGATCCCCTCCACCCCACCAGTGTGCAGCCCCACCTGGATGATGCGCCAGTCCGGTCCCCACACAGCAGCTCTCAGTGGGGAGGAGAGCAGAGTGATGAAGCCAGTTCAGAGAGGGGGGTTATTAGGAGGCCATGATGGGTAAAGGCCAGGGTGAGCTTTCAGTAATGTAAAGGTGATAGGCCAGGTGATAGGGTGAGCTTTCAGTAATGTATTCAGCAGTCTTTCAGACTGAAGAGTCGAGCCCTTGTAGAACCGGCAGAAAATCTTCTTTTTAGACATGTGAGTTGTTTCATGTGACTGAGCTCATTTGCAATAAAGAATTGCAAGGAACTACATTTCGAAGTGGTGGTATATCGTGAATGTGTCTGATTCCTGCTCGGGTTTGCAGGCTTTTTATTCTTGCTTCTGGCTACCCTGTACCCCCATAAGGCTGCTGTCCAATTTCGTATGGATCAGAATGTAAGCAACATTGAGGTCCAGCACACAGACCCACAGCCATTGATCTGGAGTGTTTCAGAATATCAAATCAAACCTTTTAGCAAGAGGGAAAAATGATCTGGTATGTTCCAAAAGACCTGAGTAGCCAAATATTGTCAAACAGGGGAATCTTTGACTGAATTGTTGTAGAAAAATTATTTGGCTGCTGTTGGTGGTCTGGCAGTAAGGGCTGGTTAAGAAAAAGATCTGAGCTAAATCCAACCAGAGGTCTTGGCGTATCAAGGTAAGCTTCTGTCCGGTATACACAGCATAAATCAGGGCAAAGGGCGCCAAGGCCTCGCATTGTCACATCACAGCTGTAAACAAAAAGTAGCCTTTGCACGGAAACTGTCTGAAAACAGCCACTTTTTCTGCATTCCTTTGAAACACTTATCTTTATTGGTTAAAGTGAAGCGGCGGTGTTTTAGAAAAGCAAATACCAAGATAAAAACGAAAAACACTAGCAGAAAATATGTTGTTTATTCAATGATTCCTGTGGGATATATTGCGCTACAGGCTGAACGTTTTAAGTTTTCAATTCCGTTTAAAAATCTAAAATGAAAACTTTTCATATGTCCTTTGCATAAAAATGCATTAAAACTCTGGCTGGCATAACGCAAGGAATAAAAAAAAGGCATTAATAACCAAATCAAAGTTCTGCAGCACTTCCGGGATTATGAACTGTACAAAATCACCCACAGCGGAGAAACCGAATTCTCGATGACAGAACAGGCGCTCACAGATGTTCTTGTTCTTTCGGGATGGCTGTTACGTGGATGGTTGTCATATGAAACTGAAAAGGAAACGGTAACTTTTCCGCCAGAATACGTGCAGTCGTTAATAAAACCCCGTCTCACGCATTTGTGCAAAAACAAAGCCTTCGGAGTCGGGGGAACCTACGTTACTCCGGGTTCCGGGAGGTGTCGGCCGCAGAGAACTGTGGGGATTGGTATTGCCTCTCGGATCTGGTTAGTAAATGTCTTAATTGAGAATGTCACGATTTGTGCTTTTTCCTTTTTCGACTGAAGGGTTGCGTCTGTTTTCTAACAAAACATGGCCAGAAGAATACTAGATGAAAAAGAAAGAAAATTATGAATCTAGGTATATACATTTTTTTTCGGGATCGGAAAAACTGAATGTGAAGAGCAGCATAGCATTCTATCAACAACTGGAAATCATTTTCTTTATCTAACTTGGCCTTCCAGTTTATAAGTTAGTACGTATGACACGGGTTAGGAAGCCAAGACACCATCCTCAACAGGTCATGTGCGGAATAGTGCAAGTTTGACATTTCAACGCGAAATCAAACGACCTCCCCAGCAAAGCACGGGCGACTTGCGCCGCCCACAACATTAAAACTGCCTGTTAGTGACACTGTAAGTATGAACACCTTTCTTTACGACGGTACACACAAACACGCCAATCTAGAAATATCCTAGAATCGATCTGAAACACTCCGGATTTTAAACACACTGTACGTGCGCAGAAATGGCCTTTGGTTAAAATGAATGAACAGATGCGTGCTCTGTGTTTCTCGCGGCTGTCATTACTGCTTAGCAAACGAATTAGTTATGTGGCCATGTTTATGTTATTAGCAGATTTGTATTAGATTTTATTTTTAAAAAATTGTTTAAGAGACCGCTATAAAATACAGTGTGCAATGTCTGTTTCAGAACAATAACCTCTTAATTTATAAGTGATTGAATGCCCTACCGCGGCCTCTGCAATCTTCCATTTTTATTGTTCAACTCGAATATACAATAGTTCAGATGGGTAGCTGCGTCAGCCTGCGTAGGCTGAAAGGAACAAGTAATAGGCTTATTCCTGCTGAAAAAAAAGAAGAAAGAAAACACAACGTTTCGGTCGTGGAGCCTTCTTCAGGTGTGAGGGTTTATACAATTATACATTATAATTGACATTATACAATACTTTGTATACATATACAAGACATTGACATTGTACAATAATGTCTGTTGTGAAGGGATAATTAGCAAGATCCCAATATGGAATTCTGCATCATTTTGTAGGGTCGTTTTGTCAGAAAGCTTTGTCTTGACAAAGTTATCGCCAAGACACTCCCGATTTCTGTCTGGTCCTCCGGAGAGAATCACGACAGACGTCGCTTGCATTATTGCCGTTGTCATTAAAACTGAATCGTGAAATTTGCAGTCGGCGAAAGAGCGGATACTTATTTGATGCCGTCCGCTGACATGAGAGGAGAGAAGACAGTCAAAATCTGTACCTTCTCTGTAATATAAACAGTGGCTGTGCAGAGCCGCTTTTCACGGAATATCTGTTTAACTGGAACCGGGGAGCGCTGATTTATTGCTATATTTAGATAAGAAATGCAGTAAATGGTTTCTAAATAGCGTCAAGGTCATGTAATGTAATGGGATAATGTTTTCGTCTCCTGCAGATAAGCCAGCCGTGCGCGGCGCGCGCAGTGGAGGAATGTCGGGCCGAGGGGGGACAGGTCTCGCGCGGCGGGAGCGATAACCCGCGCGCCCCCCTTCAGCCGGTGGGTTCGCACGCGCGCCCAGCTCCCACAGCGGGCACCGCGTGACGTGCAGTGGGGGACCCGCTTGCAGCTCAGGCCGGCTCTGCGCGGTGCAGCTGATGCATCGATACGGGCCTCTCGGGCAACAGAGCGAAGGGGCTTCGCTGCTTTTCGTTTATTGCTTTCTTTCATAAGGTCTGATCGTTCTTTCTCACGCAAGACAAACGCGTGGGTCAGTTTAGCCTGGCGGCCGGCAAGCGAGGTGTCACCAGGCCTGGCTGCTGGACTCGCCTAATAGGGGGAAAATGCGAACAGATGACAGAGAGGCCGCGGGGATCTGCGCGCCTTTGACCCGTGGAAAGAGAACATACTGTACACACAGTACTCGAACCCGAGTCCAGGCGTATTGGCTAAACTGACCTGGAATGAAATCGGGGGCATTATATAATGGATTTCATACCCTTAAGAGTCTGTCACCATGGCATTGGTATTAAATTCTCAATTTTAATAGCGAATTCGCAATGTATTTCTTTAGTTAAGTAAAAACGACACCAAATTATTGCTTTAACGTCAAATGATTGTATCTATAATTTATTAGAACCCGTTCATACAATTTAGTTTTTTAAAAATGCAACAACAACAACAAAAAAAACGAACAGACAACGGAATTAAAATCAAAGTTTTTTTTTTAGTCGTTCACATTTAACAGACAGGTTAGGAAGTTCGAGTGGACTGTTGGAACCCGAGCCGTGTCTCTGCAAGTGCGTGTTGTCTTCGGATATTAGATGAGGGACTGAAGACTACACTCAAACTCGGGCTTTCGGTAAAATTCAGGAACTTTTCTCCCGACTCAACAGATCTCCTCGTACAGAGGTTTCGACCCACGTGTTCGTGCATCCCGAGTGTCCGAAACCCCCCGGAAACTGGGAAAACAGCTGGGAAACGACCTCAGGGCCGTGACACAACTCCGCCGGTGTTCGGCTCGTCACAGAAAACACTGACTGGGAATTTTATATACAATAATCCCCATCTTTTCAGTAGCAATTAACGACATTTCGTGTTTTGTTGAACGTAAGAAAATAAACTTGAAAAAGGAGAGGGCGCCGTTCGGCTTCCTCGAGTCCGTTTGGTCAGGATCTCCAATTTAAAAAAAAACAGACATTTTCCGACAGTCTTCGATCCTAATAACTGAAGAAAAGCCTTTGAAAAGTATCAGGATACTTTATATAATACGATTATATTTATATTGATAAGGTTATGGGGATAATAATCTTCAGGGTTGTTAATAATATGAACCTCGTTATTATTATTATATATAAATATTATTACTATGTAATTATTATAATCAGACAACAGCAACAACAACAATAATAATAATTATAATATTCTTCTTCTTGTTGTTGTGGTTGTTGTTGTTATTTTATGCTGGGGGCGCTTGAAGACGCTCTGTGGCTGTATCTCGCCGCCTTGCCCTGTCGTTGTGAAGTCCGGCCTCTCCGAGCCCTGCTGCCGCTGCGGCCGGACCGGCTGGTCATTCCGTTGGCCTCCCAGCACAGGACCCGTCACGCGCTCGAGGAGCCGTGTCTGCTGGCAAAGGCAGCGAAGCCCCTTTTATGATTCAAACCAGGGGCATCTCGACATGCGAATAAATTCATATTGCGTTCTCAGCACAAAGGTGAAAGGGTTTTTTTTTAACACCAGGTCTTTTAGATAAAAAGAAAAAAATAACTATAAAGTCACGGGAAAAAAAAACCAAACAAAACCAAACAGTGCGACACTTGTCCAGCAAGTTGCGTTTTGGGGATATATGAGGCATCGTCGCCTGTGTCACCGTCCGCCGTTTAAAGGTTTCACTGCTGCCTTGTGCGTCGGCGCGCAGCGGTCTGCGGGCTGTACCGTTAGCCTTGCGGGTCTGTCAGGGCCGTCAGATCTCCTCCCTCATCCCCTGTCGCCCTCTCCATTGGTCAGCTGCACAGCGCCCTGTTTCTACACCATATAAGCGTGGGCCTCCTCACCTTCAGAAGGGTTAAATTTGCAACCTCGCGATTGAGCAGAACAAGGAACTTTGCCGCACAGCAGATCGGAATCTCTCTCTCTCACACACACACACTCATATATCCTTTATTTCTCTCACACTGACTGACAGTATGTCAGTGCCGGTTTTTAATTTCAACACAGGCGACACGCGGAAAAGGGCTGCTTTGTGAAAATGCTCTCAGGCTATTTTCTAACACGCCGCGACGAGTTCGTGATCCTGCTGCACCCCCGAGTTTGAGAATTCGCCACCCCCTTCGGGTTCGCCCATGGAGACCCTGTAAAGGCGAGGTCCGAGCTGCGAGAGGGGAGAAGACACTCGGCTTCAGGCGGGGTTCGTCCGGACTCTGTTTCCCCAGCCAGCTGCCGACATGAATTTGATCGGGAGCTACCAGCACCACCACCTGATGCGCGAACCTTTCCCGTTTGTGTCCCGGTGCCACCAGGATAACCCTTACTTTCAGAGCTGGGTGGTCAATCATGGCGAGGTCACTCCAGAGCTGCACCTCCAGCCTTCATACGGCTCGGAGTTCGTGGTCCCGGGCCCGGCGCCGGAGCAGGGTCAGCTGGAGGCGCTGGACGGGCGGATGGGCAGAAGACGGGTCTCCGCGCCCAAGAAGGAGCGACGCCGGACGGAGAGCATCAACAGCGCCTTTGCCGAGCTGAGAGAGTGCATCCCGAACGTCCCCGCGGACACGAAGCTGTCCAAAATCAAAACCCTGAGACTGGCGACCAGCTACATCGCGTACCTGATGGACGTGCTGGCGAAAGACGCTGGGGAAACGGAGGGGTTTAAGGCTGAAATCAAGAAATTCGACAACAGAGACCTGAAAAGAAAACGAGAAGCGGTGAGGCATTTTTAAAAAGTTTTTTTTTTTAAAATTATTTTTAAATGATAAAACCCGTATTAGCACACGTGATACTGTATATGCCCACTTCAAGACTGTGATCAACTGAGGTAATCTGATCAATTTGAGGTAAAACCGGCCCGGAGTGTTATCCTACTGTTACTCTTCCAATACTCTTGTCCCTGTCTGAGCGCCGCTGAAGTTTCCAGTATGTCACCCAGGCCTGTATACGCGTGTGCATGTGTTCTTAGTAATTTCAAGTGAAAATAAATCTCTCTTAAATTTATTGATTAAATTCAACAAATAATAACGTTTTTCTAGCAATGTTTTTCAGATGTGTTTCCTGTGCCTACGACAAAATCGTACTGTTCGTGTGAGAAAAAGCGACTTCAACATGTTATTAATACTGCTAATGGGCTCGGAGATAAAACTGACTTCATCTGTGTCTCACCCAAGGCGTAGTACCAGTATTATTAAAAACGGTTTTTACATTATTTTGTGCCTAGTGTTGATGTATGAAGACATATTTGATTCAATTACAAATTTATTTTCCCGTTAAGTTCTGTATTTTCAAGTGCGCATTAAGAAAACGTTACCTCGAAATCGACAAAAGCGAGGTTATATTTCAAAACCTCGATTAGTCGCTTACTAGTTTCAGATTAAAACATTTCAGAACACAGAAAAAAGATACGTGAACGAAAACAAGGAATAAAGCTGAATGAGACTTTAAACTCTAAAAAAAAAAGATTTTAATTTGTGTCAGTGTTCAATATTGCGTTGTAAAACTGATTTACGAAATTGTTATTTAAGAAAATATTTGTGAAAAAACGAAAACAAATTTAATTCGTTTAAGGTTAATACAATTAGGTTTATTTAATTTAATCAGTAGTATATTGGGAATTATATGATATCCTGTTTTTCAGTATATATTTTTTTTAATGTTATCGGCCAAATTATTTTGACTCGGACCTCAGCATGGCCAAAAGGTGAAATAAAAAGCAAAATCTATAAATGTAAGGAGCATTTAAAAAGTGACGTCCCTTTTTTGGGGTGCCTCGCTCAAACGGTTGCAATGCGGCGGAGACGGCTCTGCCCTGGAGGCTGTTCGAGGTTTCTGAAGCGCGTCTCTTCTTCCCCACAGAACGAAGGTGTTCCGGGCTCTCTGGCCGGCGAGAAGAGACTGAAAGGTCGCACAGGCTGGCCCCAGCAGGTCTGGGCTCTGGAGCTCAACCAGTGAAAGTACCTGGCGGAGCGGCCCCCCCGCAGAAAGACTCGGTATACAGGCGCCAGAGACTTGGAATACAACCACTTGGACTCCCGGAGCGGGCGACTTTGCGGTCAAGAGGCAGGTTTCAGCCCGCAGGGAGCAGCGGGCCCGTCTCGGGAGGCAAACCGAGCGCTCCTCTCCGGCGGACACCCCGCTCCCGGCTAACCTGAACTTCTTCTCTTGCCGAGATGCAGGCCCAGTCACAAGGACCGCAGATACGACTGCGCCCGCACCGTGGCCGGCGAGAACATTTCAGGCGTGTGCACGGGTGGGTTTCGGGAGGTCTGGATCGTGGGCCAGTCCGGGCCGCGCTCGGCTGCGGACGAGCCGCACGCTGTATCCGTGGTATTCGAATGTCTCAATCTACCTCCAGTGTGTCTCTCCGTATTCTTGTTTCTAGTGAAATAAATAGAAAAATGAAATTCACGATACATCTAAACGCATTGCACGGATTACCCATTAATTACTCATGTCGAAACACCCATTTATTTCATGTTTGCACCATCTCTTAAATTATTATTTAACCTAGAGCGTCATAATTTATTATTTGAAAGAAACAGCTGAGATTTATCTGTATCTATTATAACATGGAGAGCCTATGGCATCACTGCGAATTTATTATTATTATTATGCGAGCTTTTCAAAGCACAGGGTCAAAATGAGTTACTAACTTTAATCCTACACTTTCACCGTGTACCGGCGGGCATGCTGTCATGATTATTAAAGGTGTAATATTCTGACATTCTGAGCCGTTTGACACGTTCGCAGAGATCCCTTTGACATTTAATTTTGTGTTTGTCGAAAGCCGGTGCGGACAGAAGAAATGAGCAAAGGAGAAGCGGTGTTTTTGCGCAACATTTCTAGCGTCGCGCTACCGGCCAGGTGTCGTACTCGCTGATTATTAGTGAGAAAAAGCTGCGCCAACTATGTCCCCTAATGCGGAATATCTTCTTACAACATCTACTGCTAATAATTGCAATTTTCATCGGCATCATCACACTATACTGTAGTTATAGCTGTTTTAATGTCATCGTGTTTTGCCCAATACTATTACAATAGATGTCGGTCTGCTCAAACATACTGAAGCTCCGCGTCACCACAGTGTGTCGCATATATAACGCACATATATGTGTAGGTGACAGCTAACAAGCAAGTTTCAGAATGTGAGATTTCGGCATTATTAGGCCTAGATGAGTGAGAGCAGCCTGATGATTAGGTGACCCGCCCCGCACACCCAGGTCCTTCAGAACTGGCCGAACTGAGATCCATTCGCCAGCCCGCTGTGGCCGATAACTGCCCCCTCCTCCTCCCCACCCCTGTTTATTTACCCTCCGTGCGACGGCCTCTTTATCTCCAGCGCGCTGCTGATGAGACTCCGCGGAGCCGCGCGGGATTCCTGGGTGACATCAGACTCGTCCAGGACGGGGGTACCCGTGACAGCCCCCATCTGGACCGCTGACGGAGCACCCGACACGTTACAACCGGTGTCACCAGAACACGCACCGTCCCAGTTTCCGGCCCTTTTCACCTCCCTGCGCCGAGCGCGGTTTCAGACTCTTGCACTTGTTCTAAGAGCCAGCGAATATATCGTCCAGAGTCATTTGGGTGGAAAGTGGTCACATACTGTACAAAGGAACTGAAACAAAACATGTTTTGTGAGAAACGCCGTACGACTCATCTTTAATTTATGGGCAAAATATCATCGGCTTGATTGTGTTTTATGGTAGGATTTTACATCGGTTATCGTTTCCTTCAGAAATCGCGATATCACATCGTGCTGGAACTTGAACGACTAAATTACCACCATTTGGGTTTCAGAGCCGATCGATGGAAGTTCAAATCGGTAGATGGAAGTTAAAAAAATGGTAACTGTGCTGAGCGAACCGGCAGCCTTACGGACAGGGTGGGAGCGGTTTAATTTACTCGCCAAGACCAAATGTTTCAAACGAGAGAATGCTCGATTCGGTCCATCCGGAGGGCCACTGTCGTATTAACTGTAGGGGTATATATGCGTTATAGAGTTACTAACGACATCAGCATTTCACTTAAATCTCTAACCAGACAAAACGTAAAACTGTAAAACAGTATCAATCAATGCACGTGAAAACCGGTGTGAAGACCCCAGGAAACACGAGTTTAGATGATCTACCAATCAATGCCGCAAAGTTAAAAGAAAAGAAAAAGGTAAAAATTAAAGAGGCTCGATCTGAAACTCAGATAGAAAAACGGAACAAAAATGCCCCACATACTAGCAATAATAATAATAATAATAATAATAATAATAATAATAATAATAATAATAATGGGACTTTGGCCACAATGCCATGCAGAACTCGCTTCATTTCTGCCAACAGATCAAGTCAATAAACACGAGAACACAAAATCCGATATTTGAGCCTGTTATGCGAAACGATGTTCGAAGTAACGTCCCAGCTTTGGGAAATGCGAGTAAAATAGGACTGCAGTCGTGAATTAAAGCCACGCAGCTCGCAGCCCCCGGGTGCGACGGTCCTGAGGGGAGGGCGGCCACGGAGAGCGGCCCAGTGTGCTTCCCCCTGCGTGGGCGCTCGGGGCAGCCAGGGGGCTGGGGCTTGTCTGACCCCGCGGGGGTCCTCATTAGCCGCAGACTGTGCTGCACAGCCCCCGGGCCTGCGGGAGGGCTGATCGCCGGGACTTTCTCACCCGGCCTTCATCGATCAGGCAAAGATCGATCAGGCTCGCCCCGGCAAGGTCTCCCTACTGCTTGGTAACCCGAGCTCCGCTCTCGCTGTGAGAACACGGGACCCGCGGCGGGGCTCAGTCCCACCCTCGGCTTTGCGTCGCGTCCCGGGAGCTTCAGCTGTGAAACGCTACCATTAAATATACTTCATCGTTAGACACTGGAAACGACAGGAAAAAAGCAAACTTGACCCCTATTTAGGACTGCACGAGGATACCCACGGGATATCAACCTTTAGCTGAACTTTATTAAATGCTCGTCTTAGAAAAAAAAAATAGTGCAAACAACAAACCGTATTAATATACATGTCCTTATACACTGAAAGGTTTTGATTTAGGGCCTGTTGTCATGTGGGAAGTTGTATTTTATAGTTATTTTCCTTTGTTCTCATCACGTTAGTACGAACCAGCCAGATTAAGCCTTTTATGTAATTTACGAGGGTCGATGGATGGCATTGGCGTCATCGGTCTTAATTCGCTTGGTTATTACTTACAAATCCCAAAATAACACCTTAATAATAACTGTGTAGTTTTACTACCAGCAATCTAGTAACTGTACATCGGTGAACTTTATAGCCCGGGGGTGCAAGCAGGGCTCTTTCCTGCGTGTAAACCACGCAAATAAGCCGCCGTCTGGCATGACCCGAGCCATGAGAAACATCACCGCCTTCCCTCGCACCTCGGGCACCTGTTCGCCAGGTCAGCGGTTCATACTGCCCAGGGCAGGGCAGGCGAATAATGTCGCTAGGAGAGGGAACATATCGAACTACCAGGCCCAGCCCTGTTCATAACCCCGCCGCCGCGTCTCTCCGGGGTGTACCTGAATGGGCACCGAACAGTCACACAGGCCGGACCCGAAACCACAGCCTGAAGGGCGACCTCCTCACCGCCAGTTTCCGCACATTTCCGTACCGGGAAGGCAGGCGAATCGAAAACGATACCACGATTGTGGTCCATGGGCGCAAACCCCCGACTGCAAACACTTACAGTAGGTTTGTAAAAATCGGCAACGACACGATACGTGAATACACCATTTAACAAGCGACTTCAAAAGTCGCGTTGTCTAAACTAGTGTGTACCACTTTAACTTCACACGAGCAATAATCTGGCGTTGTTCTGCAATAACAACTTCCATAACACTGTCTCCTTAGTATTAACAATAATAAATCTAAACGACTAAAGGTGTTAATGGTGGAATACATGTGTCACTCGGTCTACCTGCATGTAAACTGACAATCAACAGCGCTCCTATGTAGCTTTGGTCTAAGTGATATATTCGCTCTTGTGCGCAATTCTCAAGACGCCTTAGACACATTCAGCAATCACAATATATGTTGTGAACTGTGTATTTAAGCCCCCCTGTGTGGTTTCTACTATTGTAACAGCTTTTTTATTGACACGGACGAGCTTTGGCGAGAAACGATCGAGACGGGTTTTTAAGCATCTTCACGTCACACGGACCAGGGTGTTTAAAGACTTGATCACAACGCATCAAGTTCAACTGTATATGAACAGCCAGCCTGGAGTGCTGTAGCAGCCTATCGGTCACACCCACCAATCACCTCCGACTGCCTCACTGCCACGGGCTGATGCTCCTTCTCCTCGCTGCACCTCCAGAAAGACAAGATGCTATTTCCGCACCAAAAATACACATCCGACAGGAAGAGCGGTTTAAAGCCCACTGCCGTGGATTAGACGGCTAGTGAACTGTGTTTGTGCATAAAAAAACAGTAAAACCAGCCCACAGCAGCAATGCAAAGCTCTGGCGCAGCAGCGTACTGTAGGTGTATATCTATTTGCGCTCGGAATGGACAGTATACTGAGGCACGCCCTAACAGGCACCTTTCAGAAAGTTTAAACCCAAGGAAATGCTATTTGTACCTGCATGCCTGCTAGCATGGTTGACTGTTTGAAACGACCCAGCCGCGGTATTCCCGTGCTAATTCTGATGCCGAGCTCTGCCGGGCCGGGCCGGGCGGGGCTGCTCTCTCGCCAGGGGAAAGCTCGTCCCTGATTAACATGAGACTGTAGCAAACGTGCTTATTCGGCGACCACCTTTAAGCTGTGCTTGTAATAGCTGTGCTGTGCTTGTAATAATAATTGCTTACACTTATATAGCGCTTTTCTGGACGCTCCACTCAAAGCGCTTTACATGTAATGGGGATCCCCTCCACCACCAGTGTGCAGCCCCAGCTGGATGTAGTACTCTGAACACGCTCAAGTCCGAGACTTCACGACAGGCTGCTCCTCACTGGAGCGGTCAGCTGTAGTCAAGCGAGCTCTGCACTCACAGCGTTTCCGACAGCGGCGGTGTGAGTATTTGTGCTGAAGACCGCAGCGGACTTTGTCCCGGACTGGACCACGTCTGCGGCGCTGCAGGCACGCCCCTTCATATCGGCGTGCGACTCTGCAAGGCAATTTACTGGCGGCCCATCGAGGGCATCGATATAATATAAACGCACAATCGTGCAACAGTATCCAGCAAACAACTACATTTCAACGTCGGTGCCACTTCACCGCCGCTAGTGCATGATCAGGCGGATGCGAGGCAGAGGGAATTCACTCGTGGGCACAATGCTGCCCCCGTGTGGCCGCATCAGTGATGCGCTATAGAGGCGGACCGCTGTTTTGCCGGAGTGCGGGCAACAGGTTCACGGGAGAGCAAGCGCACGTCTGATACTCGACTGCAGGTGCACTGCTGATGGTTGGAACACTGGTTTACACTGAAAGACAAACAGCTGAATAAAAACCACTGCAGCAGGCGCGCTGCACGTACTTAATACTTGAGAAACAGAACCCAGCAGTTTAAAAAACAAAGGACGCGCGTTAAGAGACGTGTAACATTCGAAGTCACAGGGAGGAAACTGAAAAAGCTTTGACAAAAACACATTTATAATTACATATACATCCTAGCATTTAGAAGATGCCTTTGCAGAAATTAATAAAAGAGTCTTGTGTGGGAAGATATCAATAATACACAGTGAGTGAAGAAAATAAGAAATAAAAAACTGCATACGATATTGAGAGACTCAAAAAAACCAAACACACAGCAAGAATTCACATTACAAACCTGAGATCGGGAGAAAATTGATAAAACAGTCAAGAAATACTGACCCCATGCTGCTCCTGAGGAGCTGTTCCCAGACGGCCTGGCTCTTCTGGTCTCCAGGGTAACGGACCCCAGAGCCCCGAGCTGGTCCAGCCCCCCGCACTGGGGATCTGAGCAGCCGAGAGAGCACCACTGAACCCCCAAACCAGGACAGCGGGGGTACAACACTGCCCCGGCCAAACTGTGGGCAACACAACACTGGCACTGGACCCATCAGCAGCAATGACACAACACCACCGGTTTACTATACACAGAACATTTATTAAAAGCAGTAAGCGGTGTCTACCTCAATCTAGTTTAGTACAGCAAATTGTAGGACAGCACAGCCAGTGTGTTTACATCTTACAAAACCTTTAAACAAAAGAAAACAGCAAAACGTATACAGCACTAATGTGTACTAGCACAGCTGTAACGGGTATCAACACTTCATCAAGATACAGCAAGTGTTGTGGGGACAAAAGCTCTTTCACTTCGTACATACAGTCTTAAATACAAAGCCTCCAATATAATGAGGCTAACAAAACCCCATACTAAGGCATTACATCTTGGACTGAGGCCTGCCAAGCACGTCCAGCCCCTCTGTCGGAACAACATCTTGTTCATCACATGGTAAGAACCACTTTGTGTCCAATATATGCAGCGTATATGCATGGTTGATCTCTTTCCAGATTAATAAAATATACTCAAATAAAGGCATGGATTGAAATGGAAATTGCTACCAGACCCATTTTTCTATTACATTGGCTTTTGTGTTCTGTAAAAAATCCCATTGAGTACCAACTGAACAAGAGGCCACTTGATCGCGTACTCGGCCGTCGAATTGGAACAGGCTCCTTCGATCCACCCTTTCATCAACAACCGGGACCGGTGCGATTCTCCCGCAGGGTCTTCTGAGCCAACATCACGCCAGAGGAAAAATAACCTCACTGAACCCAGGAACACCACAGCTTTTAAACAAAGCTGAGTTCCAGCCCAGGAGGAAAGGAGATGATGCTCTTCAGCCCACAGTGTAGCTAGTGGTTCAGCCCATTAACCTGGGCTGCGAGAGGATTCTAAGAACAGTCTTGTGCTCTACAGTCCTTTCATCGCAGTGCATTCCCACCCGGACGTTTCGCCATGTGCTCGGACGAAGCGCAGCAGAAGAGCCATTCCCGCAGTCCGGAAAGGCCTGTCCTTGGGCAAGCGCCACTCCACTTCCACAGTTCCTGACCCAACACCACCAGGAAGAAAAACTAAAGTTTGTGCTGCTAAAATTACTAACTGTACATGTGTAGGCAACACATTTGAAATAACCTAGTAAAAAAATGAAAGCAACACAACCAGGAATTCGATATTACACATGCTCCACGGAGCTTAAACCATAAACGGAAATAAAAATAAGAGTTTCATTGTTTCACATGCTGTAATATTTCCACTAAGTGTTCCACTAAGTATTTTACTTTGAAAACAAGGTAATTCTTCTGATCAACCCCTCGCGATTGTCACGCCTGTCTATTCAGAACTGGGTTAATTAAGGAAAATCACAAATGGTGAAGTGATACAGCACCAACCTCCGTCATTTACACAATGTACATCTTAAAAACATCAGCTGGTCGGAAGTGTATTCTTTCATACTTAATTTTCCAAAACGCCGTGTAAAACCATACCTGGGAAGAAGATACCCCCACACTGTGCAAAGCTTTAAAAGCAGTATCTGTCTATGAGACTGCAAAGTCTCATGTTCTGCATTGTGGAAACCTTTCTAGCCTTGGCAGGTCCAAAGAGCATTTGCTGAACGAGTAAAGGGCAGCTTTACTCTTCTCAAGTTCCAGACCAACAGCAGTGGGCCCAGCGTCATCTCATACCAACTGGAGACACAGGTCTCCCTTCAGAGCTGGGCTGGATTAAATGACGGTAACAACCCCCTCCCAAAATCAAATTCTGCCTCTTCCATCATCCAGTCTCACATAAAAAAATAAATAAAAGGAAGGAACGGGCTTGTGTGGCATTTCAGAAAAAGGTGGCTCTTGTTTTAGTCAGCATTTCATGATTTCCAGTTCAACGACCGACAGCAAAATCAACAGACATGATCAACAGGAGCCGAGGTCATCGCTGCGAGACACCTTGAGAGTGGGGGAGTGCAGGTCACTTGCTGGGAAGCTGCGGGCGCTCAGATACCCCCATCCCCACGGCTGCTGGAGCAGGGCGTGAGCGGACCCCCCTGCCGGCCCCCAGCTCTCCTCCCCAGCCAACCCGACTGCTGTTTGCCGCGCCGGCCTGCGAGTGCAGCACCGCGGGCCGACACCCCGGCAGCAAAAATAAAAACACACTCTTACTGCAGCAACACTACATCTTCTTCTTCTGCCACGTTCAGTTAAAAGTTTATTTTTTGTACATATATATTCACATTATAGCTATACCCTTTTCGACCGGAACAGTCTTAATGTTTGGCTGAACAAGAGCTTCTTCGTTTCTGACATGTCCGTCCGCCTCAGGTACTTTACAACCCAGTGACCTTATTCCAGCTGTTTGCTGCCTTCTGATTTCTGATCAAGACGGCTTTTGTTGCTCTTCACCATATAAATAAAATAGGTCAGTGTGTCCTTCTCATTCACAGGAATATTCCTGAAGTGACGACTAACAGTCTAAAACAAAGAAGAGACATTGTTAATGCTTTCTGTAGGGAGGATAGGTTAAAATTCTGTCTTTAAAATGTTAAGTGAAGACACCGCCTTTCTCCAAGGAGAACTGCAGCTTCTCTCTTTGCACAAGTTCAGGTCAAGTTCGCGATCTTTAGTCCCTGTCCTAGCAGATATCGGGAAACCTCACACGAGCACGAGACGTCCTCGCTGAGGGCTGAGCTGGCCTGAGGACAGGCTGGAGACAGAACATCTCCAGTCTACTGACCCGCAGGTGCTTGTAGAAATTCTGGCCCTTCCTGATCCTAGAACACATTCACCTTCAGACAGAGACACCACTTTTGCCTCATCGGGACAATCTGAACAACAGCGTGCAGCCTGAGTTCAGTAAGAACTGCCCTGTACAGGGAGTCTTATTTCTTTAATGCTGCCCAGAAAGACAGTGGCCAACAGGCCTTTCAAACAAATCAATGACACAATTTATCCAAACGAGACTGCTGCAGGGAGATTCTTTTGTGAGACTTTTATGGCTGGAGTGACTACTTGGCAGGCCTTTTCAATGTTCCTTGGGCACAGACACTAGCGCCGGGCCCGCCCCCAGCGCCAGCCAGACCGCAGTAGATAATGTGCTGTTTTCAAGTACGCCAAGCCAGCGTCGCAGCAGTAACTTCACACAGGGTCTGAAAGGCAGTGCGGTTTACTGCTCGATTCCTGGGGGGTGGCGTGCATCGTGCCGACTCCCAGAACGACGAGGGAAACCCCTGACTGAGCAACACCGGGTTCGATTTCAACAGCTTCACCCCACTGTACATTTCAAACCAGCGCAAAGTAACGTAGTGGGATACTTGCGTGCAAGAAAAAAAAACTCCAGCCAGCACCAGAACTACTGCGGATCCCTGCACTCCTGCAAAATCTTATAGTCCTTGTGCCTGACAGCGTATGCAGTAACAGAATTTGGCACCGGTTGTCTTAAACAAGATGGTCCTTTGATGATAATTTTGTAATAATGCTTAGCTGCACTTTTTTTTGCCAGCCACAGGTTATCTGTGTTTGGGGAATACTCATACACTCTGGAGTACTCGTGAATCGAGGGATTAGAGAGAAGAAGAAAGAATGATATTGTTCTCTCCCCCAGTCTCTCTGTACAGCCTACATCCAAACTTCTGACTGAGCCTGTTTATATAACAGCTAAATTGGATATAATGAGGCTGTGCAGCCAAGGTAGTTGCAGTTACCATGGTTAAAAAGCGGAGATGGTACATGTGAGGGATCTGTAGATCCGTCTATTTGAGAGACCACGGTGCTGTTGAGGATTTAGCATTTTCATGACAAACTGGCATTGGCATAAAAGAGTTCTGCATGAACCTTTCAGCATTAAAATGTGTATGAACAGGAATCTCCCTTTTCCCCCTACGAGGCCTTTTATTTAGGCCACAAGCTGTGTCCTAACGAGCTCCTTCCCCACGCCTGTCTTCACAACGCAATGCACAGCGGCCCAGGGGAGGCTGGGAAGGTTTGTCATTTAACCAAGATGTCAGTAGACCTTGCCTGTAGCGAAACACAGTGCAACGCATTTGATTTTCTTGTCAGGAAAAAAAGAAAGAAAGCGCATCTTGCTTTTTGGAAGAAAAGGAAAAGCACCCCTTCTACCGTCTTCGTATGGCCTTTGTCTGAAATGGTTACTGTTTCTGGCACTCGCACTGAAAAGCAAAGATAATAGTCTTCTTTGCAAGGTTTAAGGTTTATAATTGGCCAGAAGATCTGGTGCTTTTTATATCACTGACACAGCCAACTGATGTCATTATCCGTTTTCAAGCCACAGAGCTCTGAGCAGTTGATGGAAATCATTTTCTTTTGTTTCTCATTTCAGTAGTCAAGTCACACACAATTATAATGTGAACGTTAAAGCTAAAGGAATGCAATCCAGTCTTAGGAACTTGCATGCGATGGGAGTCCATGTTTGATATTTTTAAAATGCCTGTTAACTGTCCTTATGACAACAAAGCACGAACGGTTTGTCATCTGGGAGTACTGATGCAAAGCAGCATACGCTGCAAAGTTAATTGGAATAAGCTTATTTTTTCAAGAAACAAGTTTGTACAAGAAGGTTCTGAACAATTTTCTCTCTAATGGACGACTGGCCCTCAGCCAGAATGATTTGAAGTCACAGCTGCCAGATTACCTTTGGGGAGCAGGAAACAGATGTTTTGCAGAGGGGGCTCCAAATGCATTATTATGATCATAAGTTCCCAAAGGGGTGAACGAGCCAGTGTGGACCTCAGGGAAGAATGAAAAGCTTCTGAACTTTCTGCCTTTCGTTCAGGACATGCCGAAGCCCCCTGTTCACGGGGCACAACCATATTTACTGCTGCAATAAATCCGAGAAAATGCCAGGCATTCCCTTGTGTGGAAAAGGAAGACTCAACTTCGAGGATATGCAAGGGTTACATAGCAGAACTCGAATGGGTTCATCTGAAGCAATAAACCATGATAACTGAATTTTTTTGGCTGTACGTGGTTATTACAGACAAGGCTGGAATTATTTTTATTGCTATGGAGACAAACTCCATTTATTTTGGAGACAAACTTTTATGTTGCAGTTTTTAAACTTCTGTCGAATTCAATAATGATGGAAAGCTGTGGCGATCTGTAGATTTGTGCCTGTTGTGGAACAAACTTCGCGGAGAAACTTTATCACCAGATCTCAGTTTCGAGATGGAAACTAACGCACAGGCCAAAACCAGGCTTTACAGAGCAAAAGCCACTGCTTTCAGAAAGAAACGACAGTCTAGAAACTGAAGCAAAGACTTACAGACTCTATCGACGGAAAGCGTGTGCACTCAGAAATACACATTACCTCTGCCAGCTGAGCTTTGTTGAGGCCTGGCCGGGTCTGTAACTTGTAATGCCGCTTGTAGCGTCTTAGTGTGTTCACCTGAAGCTGAAACAAGTCAACCTACAAAACAACACAAAAGAGAGCAGTCAAGACTTTCAATCCACTAGCACTGCTGCTGAAATAGCTGAAACTGTGGTCTTCCATACAATACAGCAGGCCACCATCGAGCGCCAGCGGCCTCATTAAGATGTCAGCTTCTGCACTGGTTACTTTTCAAGCACGTGGACGCAGTGCAGCGCAGCGCAGCACACATTCACCAGATTTGCCTTATCTAACAATAGGGAGTATACCCAAATCTGGCTCTGAAGTAAAAATGTTTTTTTTTTAGCAAAAACTAATTGAAATACAAAAACATTATGCTTAATTATCAATTGGTTTGAGGTTAGTTGTTTCCCAGGAAATTCACCAAGAACGCAGTTAATTCCAGCCTGGACTGCCGACTGCTTTGCAGAAGACAGGGCTGTGCCGATCACATGAAGACACAGCTGCCGAGACCCCACACAGGGCTGTCCCTTTGGCACAGCTGTCCATCGGCGAAACCTGATACAGGTGTTCAAAATCCTCAATCCCAGCAGATTTCTGAAGGAGAAAAGCAGGTCTAAAGTGGCTTCCAGATTAATTCCCAAATCTTTCCTACTGAGCAGCAGCACTGCTAGAAGGACGTGGGGACGCCTAACGTCCACACCTGCCCTGGACTCGTGTCCGAGGACTCGGGGATCAGGACTTCCTTCGGCACACAGCGCAGTTCTGCGACCGGCACTTCTCGAGTTTCACACAGTCTCCGTGCTCCCCTTGGCTTCAGGCCATGTTCTGTACCGCTGACAAACACTGAAGCAGGACAGCGAGCCGCGCCGAGCCCCGGCGAGCCCCGGAACAAGACCCCTCCCCCGGCTACCCCGCCCCCCGCTGGTGCTCGGCGCTTCAGCCCGCGCCGGGAACCGCGAGCTGAAGAGAAAGACGCACAGCTGGAAGGGCAAAACACATCTGAGCACGAACGGCTCGAGCACGGCCAACACGCAGCTTTCCTTCTGGAGCGGGAGGCGGATGTCTGGAACAGACTGCGCGGCCAGCTGTCCTGGGCCAGTGAGACACTGTTAGCTGCAGTAAGATGGGGAGGCTGGCCTCTTCTCATCTGACCCCTGACTGGCTTGCAGAGAGCCCTGCTGCGCCCACACTGCAGGCAGTGGGCAGGGAATTATACCCAGACAGGCTGCTCACACTTGCTGCAGCGCCTCAGGGACTGTGTCAAACTCGACACATGCTTCTTGCCAATGTCCCCACCTTTGGGGTACACCAGCCCATCGATCAGGCCTGTGACTTTGGCAGGACCGCCCTCCACGGGCGACAAGCCCTTCCACTGCCGAACTCGGACACCGGCTGCACTTGAGCATCTACTTCAGGCCCTGCGCACATCCTATCAGTCTGTCACCAGTGCTCGGTTTAATCTGCGGCTTCATCTGAATACGCCTGCACCCCCCCCCAGTACCTCTGGCACTTCGACGTCGTGGTCAGGAGACTCGCCCCCGTCGTCGCTCGTCTTCCTCTTCCTCTTGTTCCGGACGCTCTGGATGAAGTTCTTGTGGAAGTCGCAGATGTACAGATGCCTGACCTAGGAGCAAGCAGACGCACAGCACTCAGGACTCGGGCCCAGCGCAAAACACGCCGTCAGTGTTTCCCCCCGATCCGCTGCGGGACAGATACCCGCAGCGCGACTCGCTCCGCCTCTCCCTCTCGGCGCCGGGATCGGCATTCCCGGCCCGGCCGCGGACAACCCGGGGGGCTTCCTTAGCAACAGCCATGTTTGAAGGAGAGAGGGGGAGTAGGAGGCGTGGACTAGCCCGCACCAGATCTCAGGCGCTGCGGGACCCCAGCCGGGAGAGTCAGCTCTGCGGGCTCCAAGCCGAGCCGGACCGAACTCCAGCGGCGACCCGTGCGCAGCGATTTGGCATTTAAAAGCGAAAAGGCCGCCAGGCGCACATCGGGTCAGCCTCGGCGTCACCCACCCCACCACCCCGGGTGCCCCAGCCTGGACTAAGCGGAAGAGGCGTGGGGCCAGCGTGCGGCGTGCCGGCGGGTCCACCTACGCTCTTGTCGATGTCCAGCTTGAGCTTCTTCTGCGAGATGCTCTTCTGGATGCGCTTGCTGAAGGAGGCGTTGCCGGCGGAGCGGCTGCAGCGCTCTCCGTCCTCGATGAGGCAGCAGCTCTGGCCGTAAAACGGCGGCGCCGGCGGCCCGTCGTGGCTGTCCTCCTCCGTGCTGAACCCGTTCATGCTGCTTTTGTCTCGGACTCGGGTGAGGGGGACGAGAGAGAGACACACACACACACCACACGCACACACACAGTCCGGTTCCGGCCTCCTCCTCTTCGTCTCCTCTTCCTTTCTTCTTTTTTTTCCCTCAGTCAAGCGAGCACGCACTCTTTCACGAGGAGACCAGAGCGCTGGAAGAGGGCGGCCGTGCGAGACGCAATCACAAAAAAAAAGGGCAGGAGCAGCAAAAAACAAAACCAACACACACACACACACAACTCCGGGCGAATATCAGATAGAGAGGATTAAGGATACGCGACTAGATGAAGTCTGGGGAGGAAAAAAAAGGCTACGATTGAGGTGGAAAAAATAACGCCTAAGCTGTTCTCCGATTGGAAAGAAAAAGTCGAAAAGCTCTTCAGTGATCACACAGCGACTTGCTGGTTCGGATACAGCTTTCTAGACCAAGCCAAAAACACGGACCGAGGTAAAAAAAAGTACGAGGCCAGACTACATTCAAGTGCAAAACGCAGAGCGAGGGGGATCTCTCGCTGGCTGCAGCAGTTACAACCTCACTCTCCACCGCGTCTGCCGCTGACCGCAGGCCCGCTGGGGCATGCCCACACCTCCGCGCCCGGGAACCCGGCGAAACCGGCGCCGCACGGCCAGACCCCGAAAAACGAGAAGCGGCCGAAGTTCCTGCAGCGGCGGCTGTTCGCAGCCGAGGTGACAGGAGAATCGGGAGGGAAAAAAGGCTGAGTGCAGTACTCTACCCGACTCCACTTCTGCGCCGCCGGCTGAGCTGGCTGTACCGATTAAATGCCAGCACACGGACCCCTGCGCCAACGTATCGAGGCTCCGCCGACAAGCCTGCGGGCGAACCGGGTATTTCGAGTCTCTACGTGCCCGTCCTCCTTCAAAACCGCCGATCTGCCCTACCGAAACCCGAATTTCACGGACTTAGAAACAACTGCAGGAGTCTTCAGTGAAACTGATCGCACAATAAAACATGTCCTATCCTGGCAGCGGAAGTGCCGCCCCCCCCGAGCGGCGATTGGTCGCGGGGCGGGGGGGGCGGGCGCCGGCGCTCGCACGCTGCGCCCCGGTTGGTCGGCGGGCCCGTCACTCCCGCAAGACGTCTTACTTCCTTGATTCCGGGTCGTATTTGTTTTTTTTGAAAGGAGGGTCGGTGCCTGGCTGGCTCGCGCAGGAAGCGGCCACAATGGGCTCGCGCAGGCATGTTGTCATGGAGCGCTTGCGATCCCATCGCCAGAGCAATCGGTGTGTGTTTGTTCGACAACAACTCCAGTCACTAATCATGACATTACATTGCCGTCGATCACATTATGCCAGCGCAGGACGATTGGGAAAAAAAAAAGCTTTTCGGACATCTGACAGTTGCGTGTACGATATTCTGTTATTTTTGACTGCGCACCGTCCGTCTTTCCCCCTCTTAGCTCCGTTACCGAATCTGATCTCACCCTGTTTTCGGTCAAGTTCCACCCTTTTAAATATAACAAAAGGGACCAAAAAACAGCGCAAACGAAACTGCAGTAACAAAGGAAATCCCCTCATGTTTCACCAGTTTGTCAGTTGCTTGGTTTTCAAATGATTTCGGCTGTCTCCCCAACTGCGTGAGGCGCAGTGCACGATTGCTCCGGTACACCGACCGGACGGTACTGCGTTTGTTTCGAAATACTGCGTTTGTTTCTAATTGCTACAGCATAATAATGATGAATAGTGATGATGGCAATCATAATATAGTGTTTAAAACTCAGTTTCGGATTCGATTTTAAAACCCTTGCCAGACTCAAAAACGCAGAGTAATGAACAAACAGCATGTGATTCTACATGAAAAAAGTCAGACACCCTAAATAACTCGTATATGATCTGTTTCGATCTATTTAAACGACCACAAGAACTCCCTTTGGGGATGCAGTGTGAATAAGTGGATGTTTAAAAAGCTTGACGTCATCAAACCTTAACTGACAACACATTACTGTCAACGGTCCAGGTTGGCTTTTGAGCTTTAGAAAAAATTATTATGAGGGCGTGCCTTTAGTTTACACACTCAATTGGAAGTAATGCTGTCTTCAGTAGGGCTCACAGACCAGTGAGCAGGTACTGTGCACACTTGACCAGTCTCTACAAGGAATGGGGCAGAGCTCCACAAGACAAAAGCATTGACATGCAACCTACCCCTGTGGCAGCACTCGCAGGTGGGCAGCCTACAGTATATGGCTTCCTCACTGGCCACACACACTCCTCTCACCTGTTACTTTCACAGCACAGCCCTGCTGATGCAGCTGCTGCAGTTTCCACAAGCCTGCATTCAGAACATGCTGATACATTCTGGGGTTCAAAGGAGCGTCCCACAAGCTGGAGGAACTGAGTCTCTTTAGTCTGGAGGGAGTGTCCTGCACTGATAGGCTGGGGGAACTGAGTCTCTTCAGTCTGAAGGGAGTGTCCCACACTAACAAGCTGAAAGAACTGAACCTTGTCAATTTTGAAAAGACAATGTTATGGAGGGACTTGATTTAAGCATTCAGGATCCTATTAGGAACTAACAAAGTCAGCGGATTTCTTCAAAGCGAACAGTGAAACCCAGACCAAAAGACACAAGAAGAAGCAATTCTGTAGCCATCTTAAGAAAAAGCCCCCGGTTCTTGTAGTTTCCCAGGGCGGGCGTGCCTTCGGAAGGACTAGCGTTCGAGCTGGGGAGGAAAACAAAACCTCAACGAGACGAAACCTGAGGGAACGGTCTGTGTTTTATCACCCCTACAGACAGATCTCCCCCGGCACCCGGCCTCTTCTCAGGGACCTGGAGCAGAGCTGAAAACCTGGCCAGCATGCTGCCCCCTGGATCACGAGAGGCACTGCAGTAAGAACAGCTTCTACTCTATAAGGCACCACCGGGCCAGCGCCAGGATCCTAAACTGCTTCAGCAGTGCTACACTGATAGGGGGTGTCCTATATTTGACCAGCTGAAGGAACTGAACTGAAAGCTTCTCTTTCTGTCTGTGTGTCTCATGGAGAGCAAGTTGGGGGTCTGCGAAAAGACAAATTCCTCGTACAAGAAAAATTGTATATGGCCAATAAAGTGATCTTATACCCTGTCTTCTTCGTCAGTCACGATCGATCAGCTGTACTTGACTGTGACCACCAGAGGGCGCCACATCCCGCCGGTTGGCTTGGCGAACTTGCTTCCTTCCGGAAAACGGTCAAAGTTTTTTTTTTTCTTTCACCAGCAGAAGTCTGTGTTTAGGTACAGTACTAGAAGTTAGAAAATGCATAGACCACAGTCCCTGTCCTGTAAAAATGAATACAACATTAACATTTGAAAACAGCTTTTTAATCCACACATCCGAGTTCCATATATTTTTCTGTGTTTACAGGGAATAAAGCAGCATGTTATTACAGTATATAACAGTTTCGATGCGTTTTCAGTTGGCAGCACTGTACAGCGCAGAAAGCCGCCAAGCGTCGGCGCGAACCTGAAGACATCACGCACAGTTCCCTCCAGAACAGCAGGGGAAAGGAAGGGGCTTTTATCTGCTCATTTCGCTTTGCAAGAGCTGTTTTCACGGCATCGACATGTTGGGTTTCCCCACTTTTTTTCTGTGTGACGAAAGACTCCAGGATTTGCTCTCTTGAGTTCGCAGATAAAATGTTTTTTTCAATGCCATCTCCGATTTGTTTGTTGCAAATATGGAACAGCGGGCTAACTTGTAGGACTGCTCTGACGCCACATCGCCACACGCACAACTCAATCTAGACACTCGCTGCTCAGACGAGAAAGCCCAGTCCTTCACACGTGTCTCTCTCTACAGGCAGAGGGCTAGCAGAATAATTCTGTTGCTTTGGCCAAATGGAGGATGGGCGGCAGCGTGTCAGTTTCGGAGCTCACGGTGTGCTCACTGACCTGAACTGAAACCATCCCTTGTTGGTGCAGCGATTTGCAGCAGAAGACTCTAGTTTTTTTTCAGTGAAATCCAAGGATTCGGTCACTGTGTGGTGTAAAACTCACCATCAGGAACGTGGCAAAGATCTGGTGGCCTCGGAGAAAAAGTAATTGTGAGGCAGGGGCGTCAGGAGGCTGGGGGCCGGGGGCCAGGGGCCGGGGGCCCTCAGCGGAGCAGGTGTCACGGTGGGACCACCTCGGATGGCGGAGAGCGTTGGGGACAGCGTGGACCTGCGGGATAGAACCACATCCTGATGGAGCCCAGTACCGCAGACTTGGAAACATCATCCGCCGAACTGCAGGACCATGCAAGACCGCGCTGGGACTCCGGGGGCCTGGCGTTTCCAGGGCGCTGTGTCTTCAGGATGAGCCTCCCCGACCCTGAGCTCGCTCTCTGCTGGCACTGGGGACTTTCTCTGTTTCCCTCACCTCAGAGCAGTTCCCAGGGCAGCAGATCGGCCAGACAAACCAGCTTCCTGGAGATGAGCTGTTGCCGTTTCCCTTGATAGTCTCGGACTGCACCTGTACAGCCTGGTGAAGGCCATTAAGGAAGCAATGAGCCGAGGATCTGGAAACGATGAAGCTTCTCTCCCAGTTTCTCCTGTCTGCCTCAGCTGATCAGCTATTCCGCTACGCACTGGGGTCCGTGCTGCATGATGTAAAAACGCTAAACACTACACTTATTGAAACATGAATACTTCCTCTTTGTTTTTTCCTTAAAGTCACGATCCCACGTGCTGCACCTGTGTGGTGTCTACAAGCAGGGGGAAATTCCTGGTCCTGGAGGGGGTGCTGTGACTGCAGGTGGTCACCCCCTGAGGAGCTTGGGAGGAGCTGCTAAACTGCCCTCGTTAGGACAATAATGAGCTGATTTCAGTCAAGAGCCGAGCTGAAATAACCTGCAGACACACAGGCCCTCCACGAGCAGGACTGCCAGCCCTGGAACAGTAAATCATGCATTTGGCAGCAAGGAAGATTAGTTCTGTTGATCTGATCTGTTTTAATATATACATTGGAACAAACAAAGTGGAACTAGACTGGATTTTGTTTATTAAGGGGGAAATGAGATTAATTAAAGTCAAATTTGAGTTTTCAAGCAGTCCAATAATAATCATGTATCTGAGGAATATTTTCAGTTTCAACTCCCAAATGCTCACTTGGCCTCTTGTAGCTCTCTCTGCAAGCTTTCCTTTTAAAGACCTTTCAGATGGATTTTTTAAGCAATACATTTCAAGATCCCAATTTGAAATGGGACTTTTAGGAGATGAAAAGGTCTGGGAAGGCCTAATCAATCTGGCCCTTAGCAGAGATAATGTACCAATGATGCAACACACTCAGAGGTCAGAAATCCTGCTCAGGAGATTCAGTTCCTTCCAGGCTGATGTAAGACAATGAAAATACTCTGCATTTCAAAAAGACCACCACCTCACTCTGAGCTTGAGCAGTCCTGGCCTTAATGCAACAAGGGCTGGGGCAGCTTCTCTCTGTCCCCCTGATCTGCTGTGCAGTGGGGCAGCTGGTCCAGGAGGAGCTGAGCTTCACTGGTGAATGAAATGAGTCCCTTTCTACATGTGGAGCACCTAGGGATGAGAACCTGGTTGCTGCAGGGCATGAACACGTAGGGTAACCTGTATTTTTTACGACCCTCACCCCAATATGCACAAGCCTATGCAAGGACGAGAACGAATGAGGACACTTCTTCAGCCCTTAGATTGTACACTGCTATCCTTATGGGTGGAGTGGTGGCTCTGTGGCTCAGGATCTGCGCCTGTGGCTGGAAGGTTGCTGGTTTGTATCCCACGGCCAGCAGAGGAATCCTACTCCGCTGGGCCCCTGAGCAAGGCCCTTAACCCCAACTGCTCCAGGGGCGCCGTAAAAATGTCTGACCCTGCGCTCTGACCCCCAGCTTCTCTCCCTGTCTGTGTGTCTCATGGAGAGCAAGCTGGGGTATACGAAAAGACAAATTCCTCAAGAGAGAAAAATCTATGGCTAATGTGATCTTATCTTACCAGCTTATCACAGATGGAAAGCTCTCTGAAGATACTGGAGAGACCACTGGTCTCTCCAGAGTGCATTATAACTGCACTCTGTTATAATGGTAGGGCACCAAAACTTTGAGAACAGTAAATATTCTTTAAGCCAAAAAGGAAAAAAACAGGAGGCAGTAAGAAATTCAAATATATAAACATTTTATTGTACATTTCAGCAAAAATATTATACAATTCCAGTTTAGTTGTAGTTTGTTAAATATCTAAATACATTTTTTACAGTCATTGTGTCTAAAAGTCAGTAGAAAAAAATATTGGATATTTATGAGATACAAAATGTGCACTTTAATCCCCTAAACATAATTCCACACCAAGTATACACGGTATATTGTGAATTAAAAGCAACACTGCAAACATTTCTTTCACTTTAGCTGAACAGTATTTCAAATAGGAAATTATCAAATTTCAACTGTATAAAAGATGTATTTTTCCTCTTTATAAAAATATTAATTGAATTAGCACCCCCCCAAAATATATCTCATATTAGAATAAAATCAAATTGTTTCGAGATCCCCTGAACCACCCAGCTGAAACAAGCACACGGGTTCTAGAACTTCCACTGCGAAGCCACACAAGCTCTCCGATTCACCTCCAGGATGTTAGAAAGGTTACAAACGAGAGGAAACCATTCAGCTCATCTAAGTCCAAATATATTTCATGAAGTCTTTAAATATAACAATTCCGAGTTCACAAAATTACAGCATTGAAAGCATAAGATAATGCCCACAAGTAAGACAGAATTCTACAAAATTCCTCCTATAAAACATCCAGTTAAAATTAAAGTATATTCCAAATCTAGAAACTTTTTCTACCCTAAATTGACATGCTGGAAGCATTCAGTTTTGCAGGTTCGTTTGCATTAATTTAAAGTGCCAAACACTGTATGACAGACCCTTTTCTTTAAAAGTGTTAAAATCATTCTCAAAAAGGGCATTGCAGAAGACAGAGCTGATTTAAATAGTAAAACATTTTTGAAGTCTCAGATCCAATAATCATATTTATACAAGAAGATCTGGAGAAAGTCCACTGTCGCATTCCTATGTGTGTTTTATGTTTTATTTTAGGCTGAAAAGTCCGGCATTGGAAATTCACGTTTCAGCACCTGTCCAGACCAAGCCTGATATTTTTAAAGAGAGCACATTTTCTGAAAGTATGATAAGAGAAGCTAAAAGCATCCAATTATTCAAGTGAAAGGTTTGTGCTAATGTGTGATAATGTGCTACTTGACATCTGAAATAAACGACCAAAAGGAAAAAGGTATCCCATCATTAAAGCAATGATTAAAATAAATCTTATTGTCTTTAGGACTATCAAAGTACTACAGAAATCATAATGAAACCTGAAGAACTAAGGTTCTCTCTTTTGAGTGGGATAATTCAGAGAAACCAACTCCATGTTTAAATCGAGAGAGAACAGACACTATTTGAGCATGGATCCAGACGGTTTCTGAGGTGACTGGGTAGCTGCTAGTTTAAAGGATCCATATTGCAGCAATTTCATTCTCTAACTTCCATCACGATTCTCTTTGACGGTTTTCACTTAGTCCACTGTGCTTTGCACGCATCACAATTATGAATTCAAAAGGCCACATGTTCCCAATGATTGAATCCAGTGGGTTTTGGATTGTTTTGTGTTCTGAAAATTGGGTCTGTAATTTCAACCACGAGTGAGCTCCTGGGGTGAGTTCAGCAGACTGTGAGCTGATAGCAGAGCAACGTTCTTCCCCACCTGCATCACAGCCTGCCTGCAACTCAACTGTAGGACACAGGGCAGAATTAAGAAATGGCTTATTAGTGAAAATGAACCCTGCTTGAAGCAGAAAAAAAACACACATGGGCACATAATTAAAAAGAGCATTATAATTAATTAAAGGTTGCTAAGTTGTCACTCCAAAAAGCCTCCAGTATTATTTCTAACCCCTCTAGGATATAGCAGCACATTGACAGAATAGACAGTGACACCACCCTCTCTCACGACCTTACTGTTCTAATAGGGAACTCCAGCCCAACAGCCCGTTTGAAATAAAAACAGTGACATTGAAATATCCTACTTCTACTGTACTGCTAATAACAATAAACTAAACATCTCATTGCAAAACACCGCTAAGCAGTGTCAAATGTAAACAGGGCCCCGGGCACAGGTCCTACACTCTTGCAAACAGATAAATGACCGCGCCAGCCAGGAGGCAGGTGGACTGGCTGGGACTTCTGGGATCTGGAAGGAAGAGTGCCACCTGCCTGTTGGCCTTAGAAGTGTCCCACCCCAGGACTGACGAAGAACAATTTGTCAGGAGGAGGCTCTGAGAGCAGGCTTAGAGGTGGTATTGTGGTGAGAAGAGACAGCCATCAAAAGTAAACCTAAAAATCTGGTTCAGAGACGTACAGCCTCTCGGACTGAAGCACACAGGGGTCAACCACAAGAGGTCGTCGGAGGCCCGGCTCTGGTCGGGGGTTCCCAAGAGAGAGACGAGGGCAAGTGCAGTCAGTGCAAGAGAGCTGGGGCTTTGAACACAGTCGAGCTTCCTGGAGAGAAATAACTCTCCACGGACAGAATCACTCAAACAGCTGTTGGGGCTTTTGTATGCGTTTATCCAACTGTTGCATATGTTTAAATGTGTTGTTCTAATTGGAGTTCCCTTTTAAACCTAAAACATACCGTTATCTGAAACTGTGTCACTCTCTTTTCCCAAGCGAACAAATACTACAGTTGAAAAACACAGAAAGTTAACATTCATTAGAAATGCTTTACAAGCTAACGTGCTGGGCGCACACACACAACAATGCTTTAAAAAAGGCTCCTTGGCCCAGAGCTGGGATGCGTCGGCCCTTGTCCAGCAAGGCACTGAGATTTCGTTCAAGTCTGCCACCTCAGGTTCGACCGTGTGAGCCCCTCCTACAGCTGCGACCTGGGCAAACCAGACTGGCATGATCGTGTCAGCCCCCAGACGGATCTGATTCGTATTACTGCTAAACAGAGTTTTCATAAATATCACTATCCAGTTTTTCCCCCAACAAAAAAAAAGAGTTTGATTCTTTATCTCAGTTTAATATTTCAAAACACTTCCTCTTCAGATGTAAAAAGGTGCATAGATTACATCTGCTGTTAGTGTCTTAATAGCTGCTTTCTAGATCCTACTGCCACCATTAAGCATTAAAAGCCTTTAGACAACATACTTTGTGATGCTTTAATGGATTCTAAGGTTTTGAAAACAAAGAGCTGGGGTTCAAGAAAGTTTTAGACATAATTGTATTACATGGACTTCTGTCACAAACTAGTTGCCATCTTATTAATGTTGTCTAACTTATTACTAATGGCTAATTTATCTGCTTCTGTGTGCTGGGTGTTTCAAGACATGCAGTGCATTTAGTTGTTAAATTAACATTCAAATGCACAGTGGCAGTGCAGGACTGAAATGTTATTGATCCCCAGACAGGGAGCTAAGAGCAGCCCTTTCTGCGCGCCGACTGGTCCGCTGGAGTGGCAGGGATGTCTCAGGCTGGCGCCATGTGTTGTGAGGCCTAAGGGTGGCCGAGGGTCGCTGTGCTTGGAGCAAAGCTGCCGGCGTCCACAAGACAGGCTTCAAGGGACAAAGGAGATGCATAACTATCAGTTGCACCACCTGGAAGCTACTGCAAAAAAAAACCCTTGTAGGTAAATCAGTCCCAAAATAAGATAAAACCCTACTGCCCCGACCATTTCAGACTTTATCCCAGCATAATTTGACGGCCAGGCTGTCTGCATTCCTACAGCGCGCACATGCAGACTGGCTTGCCCATCACAATTTTACCAATCCCGAGAAACATCCCTTGTCCCCAATGTTCCTTCTAAATTCCCCCAGAATATCCACATACCCGGCTCCATAGGAAAATACACTCCAGACCTTGGAGTTGGTGTTTCAGTTGTTTCTGTTGAACAGTTCCAAGACGGTGGAGTTTGTTTTCTCAAACACCCACTGCTGTGTTTTGGAGGAGTCACAGCTGTTCATGAAGACCTTTTTCTCTGCTGGGCTGGCGTCCACGCAGCTGTTACTGATGGGGTGGTAGATACTTTTGTCCTGAAGAAAGAGACAACAGGTATTTTGTCACAGACCATCTGCCCCATCCTGCCCGTTTGGTAGTTCAGTCACTCCGTGAGAGAAGCCAGGGCGTCACTCGCTGCACCGGAGGCAGACCAGGCAGAGCAAACGAGTCAGAGCACCGCAGGGGGAAATTTAGGGACCCCTTTAGATTTATCTGAGAGACATCCGACAGACAATATCATGAGGGACTATGGTTTTGATAAGTTAAATTAAAACCTTAAATGAATACTTCACCCGGGTGATTACTGAAGAAGAAAGTGTCAACATGCCTTAGGCCGAGGAAACACGAGAGTGATGGTCTGTCAGTGAAATCTTTTACTTCATGGCAAAGAGTCAAATTGATATTTTATACTTGAGCTAGATGAAATGATTATTCTGATCCAGTTTACTAGTAGCAGTGAAAAAAAGACTGAGGCAAACAGGGTCTATTCAATTACCCTTGTACACTAGATGCCGGGCAATTGAAATTCATTATCCAAGTCAAAATGATTTTAATTAAAACCAATATTGCAACAATAACTAAAATCTAGAGGAAAGTAAGATTTTTTTTTCCTTCCAGATTCAGGCGAAGCACTGAAGACTAATAACTAATCAATACAGACTCTGGAATCAGCTTTCATGATTCAAGTCAGTCTATCAAACCCCTTCCAGGGAATTCCTGCCCAGTAATCAGATAATTACTTCATACAGCTCCCACTGAAAAAAAAGAAAAATAAAAGAGCAGCACAGATGTACAGCAGTTCAGCCTTTTTGTATCTAAGGTGTAAAATGATCAAGATTACAGGCTGTTCTTACCTTTCTGTATCTCCATAGCTGATTCCCTTTCATGCCATGGCAGTCGTATAACGTGACAGGGCTGTTGTGTGAAATAGCATCAAAACACACCTTCTTCGTGTGCAGGGGATCGCCCACGCGGATGTCTTCCCTCCAGCCGAACGTGAAGACCTGCAAGTCAAACAGGAGTTTCAACCCGTTATCACCCAGCTCCAGCAGCAGGGCTCTGCACCCTGCCTTCCCCTTCCTGAGAGCTGGGGCTGACGCAGGAGTGCACACTCCCAGAGCAGAGTGACACAGGAGCGCGCACTCCCAGAGGAGAGTGACACAGGAGGAGGGTGCACCCCCAGAGGAGAGTGACACAGGAGGGGGGCGCACTCCCAGAGGAGAGTGACACAGGAGGGGGGCGCACTCCCAGAGGAGAGTGACACAGGAGTGTGCACTCCGATAGGAGAGTGACACAGGTATTGGGTGCACTGCCAGAAGAGAGTGACACAGGAGGGGAGCGCACTCCCAGAGGAGAATCCTGGGGGTTTTAAGAGCTGAGTTTGTTTTGCTGTTTTGCAAACCTGTTTGCAGTTATTACAGTAGCAGGTTTATATGGCAGCAGTAGCAGCCTCCAATTTAATCTTTTGACAGCTTTGTTCATGTATTCAGGTCTGTTCTCAGTGCTGCAATGAGCTTCTTCCATTTTTTTAATTTGCCTATTTTGCCTGTCAGGCACAAGATTAATTGGTAACATTCTTCCATTAACCGAAGTGTCACAGCTTCAAAATCCAGGGTGATGTTTTTTTACTTTTTTTAATGTTAAATACAAACTCTCTCTGATGTGCTCCAGTGTGCTTAAATTGCTTTCTGTCACTGTCATTAAAAACTGACATGATTTGGCGAAATTGCTTCTAAACCCCAGTTCATGATCACGCCCTTTCCAAAGGTCTCCTGCAGTCTCAGACGACTGTAAAAGCAAAGCAAAGTTTCCAAAAACATATTTAGAAAAAAGATTGCTATCACAGTTGCAAGAAAAATACAGAAAACAGATTAAGCAATTCAAATGCATAGCAACTGAACAAGGAAAACAAAATGTAGTTCAAATTTATTGCACAAATTCAGCATGGCAAAGTTTACGCCAACAAACATTCAAAGGTTTTTCATACATCATATTCTCTTTTTTTTGTCCTTACACTTGGCATAAGTCAAGATGGTCAGATGTAGCAGTCCTGGCTCAGTCTGAGGGTATGTGTTTGAGTTTAACCCAACAGGAATGTGGTCTACCTCATTTTGACAAATGTCACATTTTGGGAGTGCTTTCTGATCAGAATGTTCAGGTCAGTAATAACGAAATGACCATACTGCTGCTCTGGAATCAGTCCAGAGAAGAGCAAACAGATGCATTTTGGGTCTTAACAGCTGCCATGGACAGGCTTAAGGAGCAGATAGAAAGAGAATTTGATACAAACATTCAAAATCTTCAACGCTGTGAAAATCAACCCAGTGGACTTCAAGTGTCACATATGGAAACGACATGGAAATGCACTTTGCCCAAAGGGTAAAGGTGACTCTCTATGGTCCAAGGGTGTAACCCTGGTGTCCTGGCCAAATTTCCCCCTGGTCTTTACCCATCATGGCCTCCTAATAATCCCCCTCTCTGAACCGGCTCCATCACTCTGCTCTCCTCCCCACTGAGAGCTGGTGTGTGGGGAGCGGACTGGCACATCATCCAGGTGGGGCTGCACACTGGTGCTGGTGGAGGGGATCCCCATGACCTGTAAAGCGCTTTGAGTGGAGTGTCCAGAAAAGCACTGTACTAGTGTTAAGATATCATTATTGTTATTATTCTATGATAGAATCAAGACGCCAGGGCCTCCAGAGGCCAGGCCTGTGCCACTCACCTGGCCGTGACTCCAGCCCGTCTCCCCTCGGCCCGCCGCGCAGACCTCCAGCCTGATGGGGGAGCCAGAGGCGCTGTGCTTGCTCTCTGCACACAAGCCGCTGCCCACGTTCCGCAGCTGGAACAGACACACACAGACACTCAGGGAAGGGAACCCCAAACTGCGCCCCGCCCTGGTTACTGTAAGCGAGCTGTTGAAGATGCACCCCCAAAGTGTTTAACGCCCACATGTTCGACCAAGGTGGCGGTGCCCCTTTTAGAAAACCACCTCTAGCTGGGTCACGGGGCTGTGTGTGAACATACGGCAGGTCTGTGCACTGAAAACATTTCTGCGCACATTTCTCAGGACTCCTCCCTGTACATACTGTACGTACTGCAGCACTGTCCAGTTAAACATATTCGCAGTACACAAGGCACTCACTCAAAGTAAAGAAAACAAAAGCATTATTTTATTAAAAAATATATCATGACACAGTGTGGACGCAGTGTGGACTGTACCTCCCCCATCATGACACAGTGTGGACGCAGTGTGGACTGTACCTCCCCCATCATGACACAGTGTGGACGCAGTGTGGACTGTACCTCTCCCCAGGCGGCGGCCGGTGGCTCCACAGGGGGGTAGTGTTTCGGCAGATCCCAGGCCACATCAGTCATGAACCACTTGAAGCTTTTACAGTTCAGGCTGTTCCTCAGCTCCTTCTGGACGGTCATGTCCCCAGCGGAGAGGTGCCTGTACTCAGGCCTGCGCTGGTAGATGTACTCTGCGTACTCGTCCATCCACACCTCCGCCACTCGCTTCAGGTTCTGCAGGAGAGCACGTTCACAGACAGGACGGTTAGAAACGGGCCCACTCCGCCCCTTATACTGATCCTAAAGCCTCATAGTCATTCCTCAAAGGATTCCAGAGAGTTAACATCTAACAACAGGGCTTCAGCAACAGATATTCACTGGCCGTTAGCGCTCAAGGAATTATTTATTTTCTGCAGTGAAGGCACCTGAGCAGAGTGTCAGCCTAAACATTTTGGCAATGAAATGCATTTTTTTTGCCTTGGAAGAAAAGCAAACATAAGCACAATGGAAAGAGAGCTGTTTTTTAAGTCTTTCTGTCCAGCCCGGTGAGATCACTTAAAAAAAATGTTCATGATCCCAAAAGCCAGTGGCCAAAAATGAATACACATGAGAAGCACTGAGTTAATCCTAAAAGTTTATTCAAAATAAGAAAAGGACAGTTCTGTTGTTCACTGTAGAACTCTTGACCTTGCACAGCTCCAGAATAAAGTAAAACTAGGAATTTTTACAAAAAATAAAAAGCAAAAAGCATGCAGTAGCAAGGCTGATGCATGTTCTTCAAAAAACCTTAAAATTCAATTTTGAGATACATTTGTTCAAATGTGGTGCATTCTATACAGTCAGTTTTTGGCAGGCAGCTCTGGAGGCTTAATTTCTTAAAATAATGCACTTACCCACTAAAATATTCTAGTCTGCTCTTCAGTCAAATATGAACAAGTCTATATAAAAAAAAGCACTTCAAGGCATTGTGTAATGAGGTAATGAAGATAATCAATGCATTCAGATTTCACTTTACTAGGCAAGAATCGAAAGCCCAATTTATACAGGTTATGCTGGAGTGAGGATTTGACCTAATGTTAGGATCAATACTGCGAATTCCTCATCAAGGTCACTTATCCAGTAAGCTTTCAAATGACCAAATCAATACACTGCTAGTTGCAAAGAATGCAAGAACTAGAAACCTTTGTTGGAAAAACAGGAAGAATCATAGATGAACCTTTTCAAACTTTGTTAATATGTTCTTCAGCCTTGAATCTCAATGCCCAGCAGACATGTCTGGCGCACTGGCTAGATTAACAAGAAAGCAGCAAGATGTCCATTTGTCCTTCTCAGACTAAAGAAGTACACAGAGAATGTTTTAGCCCAGATAGGCTACTGGCAGAGGAGATATTGATCTGTCCTGGTAACTGGTTGTTCACAGGGGAAGGGCCGCTGGAAACACCCTCACACACTCAGACTTCCTCGGAGTTGCCAAGCCTCTGTGAGCACAGGGAATTATTCAGATATTGACCTGCCTGACCCGGCCCTCCCCGTCTGCCTGCCTCCTGCAGGGGTGTCTGTCTGACAGAGCCGTGTGGAGCTCCACTGTCCCTGGGCGTGTAGGCTGTGAGTGTTTGACAAACCCCCTTCTGCTGTTCTAACCTGTTGGATAACGAAGGAACGATGTGTGTCACGCTGGGATGTTGTCACCAGGACGGGGTTCGGCAAGGGGCCTCCCACACTTCAGACCAGACACTATCTCGGGCTGAACACAGGGCCGACACAGGGGCCTAACACAGAGGCCCGACACAGGGCCGCCCACACAGGGCCCCAGGCACAGGGGTCCGACACAGGACCCCCCAAACAGGGCCCCCGACACAGGGGTCCGACACAGGGCCCCCCACACAGGGTTATTCATCTCCTTAAGATTTCCTGTCCTTATTTGTGACATCACACCAGGTTAAGACCAGAGATCTGAGGGTGACCAATGAGAGCATGGTAGCGAATTAATTGAGAATTACTTAAAATCCGTCTCGTTCATTCATTAATTTTCATGCTCTTGACATGGAGCTCTGCACTGCAGCACAGGTACCGACATGAAACAGATTTCCGAAGGATTCATGGGATAGCACATTATTACTTTCACATCGAGGAATAAAACATTCATTCTGCCAGTCAGGTTTACTCAACATGAAATACTCCCATGCATGTTAAAAGCCCATGGGGACAAACAGCATTAATATTTTACTTACCCTAGCCAGACTGACTCCACCAGGCACCTTGTATGGAACGTACTTCCTGTAGATATGTCCCACTCTGGAGCATGGTATGTCTTCCATTCTGCCACCACACATCCACACCTGGTGACATCAGCGCATGAAGAGTTAAACACAGGCTGTGCACGACTGTACTGTACAGATCACTCCACCAGCAGGCAAATCGTGCTCCACAGCTGGAGAACCTGGCAAGACAAACTGTTCCCAGCTCCAGTGCTGGTGGTGCTCCGAGGGGCAGAGGAAACAGATGACTGAGTACAGAAACTACAGTTTGTGCATTTTTAACAGAACACTGCTGTCCATTATTCTGCTCCGCCAAACACTCACTGAAAACAATCGTCCACTGAACAAATCAGCAAATCAGTCTCTGACACCTAAAAAAAGAAACAGGTTCAAAAGACAGGAGCACAGCTCAGACCGAGAGGGCGTGTAATGCTGCTGTCCAGACTGGGCACTGGAAATCTGTCCTCTTCAACAGCGTCTGAGAAGTCTCAGGTAGTTTACTCCCTGCAGCTGTGCCCCCTCTGCCTGGAGCGCTTGTGCGACTAGCCAACCAGCAGATATAATCAGACCCTCTGGAACCTGCCAGGATACTTCTCAGAACATACGACAGGTGACCTGTGAGAGGTAACTAACCGTTTAAATTGATGTCAGGATCTCATTCAGACACGTCCTGCCATGGTGTGAATCCATGTGCACAACATATCCAAACCGACCGTGGAAATGGAAGGGGCTGATGCATCTGCTCGCTGCTGTATTTGATATAATAGCAGGTTCTGGTCTGGCCCCAGGGTCTCACTGGCTGGTCCTCTAGAGCCACAGCCAGCAGCAGCTGCTGCAATTAATTTGATACTCTTTCTGCCCGCAAGACAAGAAAAAGATAAAACTGCAGACTACATGACAGCTGTGACTGAAGCGCCCCCTTCATCAGAAACTGAATCTACTGTCTGCCGGCGAAAGTCAGCGAAGTGTGTTGGAACAAAATTGAAGAACAAATACACTGGTATTCTGACACAACATTTTGTCTCCGACCAGGTATTTTCTGCTAATGGGAACTTTCCATCTGTAAAGCCCCAACTCCCATTTTAAAATCCCATTTCACAGGGTGAAATTGCAAGTGAGGTAACATGTGCTGGGTTGTCAGTGTGGGCTGGTAAATAAGGGTTTTGTCCCACGTGTGCCGTGAATAACCCAAGCCAGGCATGCTGGCAATGTTCAGGAGATTCTCCTCATGCAAAACGTTTAACATCTGGCAAGGAGGATTGAGCATTAATTGCACTCTTCACCACTCCAGTGGAGACCAGCTCCTGAGAAGAGACTGGGTGAAAGAGAACTCTTAAGCTTCCGCTTCTACTGCAGAAGGTTTCTCCACAATAACTACAACTCACTTATACAGCATATATATAATTCAGATCACAGCCCGCGCAGCTGCATGAGCAGCTAATGAAAGATCAATAACAGACAGAAAGGTAACGGCTTCTGTGTATCAATGGATGTTTACAGCTCTTGGCAGCCCAGGCCCTGCTGCAGCAGGCGAGCGCCGAGGGGCTCTGCACCGAGAGAGATCCATCTGCTGCAGCGCTGTCACACTGTGCGGTTCATCTCCGTGAGCCCTTCATTAACCCACGCTCGTTAGAGAAGGACCTGCCTGCCAGCAGGGACAGGACTGTAGGCCGTTCTCTTCTTAAAATATTAAACACCTCATACTCCTGTTTCCTCTAGGCAGCAGTACGGCATTGCCTTTGGTATCCTGGGAAACCAAACTTCCAGCATGGACTTGTTGGCATATTTACAGAGGCAATTTCCTGGTACTGGACAGTTACTTTCTTTAACCTCTGCACACAGGACCTAACAATGCAGTCAACGCAATTGGGAAACAGACTGCGGATTTCAGAGCCCTTTTCTAGCATGGCTACTTTGTTTGCACGTTGGAAGGAAATCGTCCTAAATTCTTTATGTGTTCACATGGTCGAAATCCCGCTGGCAAGCGCAGTAATGGTCTGTGGTCGAAAGCAGGACGACAGCCCTTTTCCGTGTTGTTTCACGGAAAAAAATATTTTCTCCCAGTTCATTTAGTCGGGCTGTTAAGAAAGAAATCTCGTCGAAGACCACTGTAGAAAATGAATGTTCCTCCCATAAAAGCCACAGATTTTATTCAACCTAAACAAAACAGACAGATAAAGCAATCCAACCGCACGAGTGATCCCAGCGCCAGAGCGACTGTGCCTGAGCGACCACACGCTGCTGAGACAGGACTGGATATTAGGATCCAGTAGGCTGGGAAGAAGATGCATAAAAAACGACACTCGTCTGTGCAGCATGGACTTCATGGGAAATTAAAACATTCACAGTAAAGGGAAGGAAATACCAATTGGTTAAGGAGTGTAAGGAGCTTATAGCGAGGGTACAGAGAAGAGCACTTCAGAGGGAGATCTGTTGCACTTTACGAGTTCTTTAAGCCTTCACAGAGGATTAGAAACATTTTTCCCATATATGCATTTTTTTCCCCCAGATTATAACCGATATCCTTGGTACTGTACAAAATGAAGAAGGATAAAAAGCATACAGTGCTTTTCTCCTGGTTTGGTGAGTTCCTTACCTGCAGTAGCACTGAATGTTTTAAAATATGTGCAACACAGGTAAATAATTCCTTTTAAAGATGCAGAGAGCCAGACCTGCTGGGTCTTCAGTCCCGACCAACAGCTCACTTGAGCTCCTCCCATGGTACGGCAATTTAAAAATAAAGTCTGCAAAAATGGCTTTTTCAAGTGTAATCAGTTTAACGATGAGTCTGATAGCATGACCCAGCCAAAAGCTGTTATTATTACGCTCCTTTTATTACGTCGATTAAATTCAGAGGGAGGAGACTTTGCAATGAAAACTGAAATCTGATATAAGAATCACTCATGCCACACTGATTATCTTTTCCCTTGATCACAACATTATATATGGAATACAGTCACTTTCAATTAAGAGGATAAGCTCTATCCAAGTCTGTTAAATGCCACAAGCCTGCATTCAGGCTGCTCACGGAACAGACAATTTGGTGGGCAAGTGTCAGGGCCGTTTAGACCTTTATAACGCTGTTAACTGCTTAATGAGAAACTGCAGGGTCTGGAAATATTGAATAAACACGCTGCCTGACTTTGCCTTGTACTAGTCCTGAAATTCTCTGTGTGAAGCACTTTTACACCCTTCACTGCTGTTCAATTTTTCATTACCACTTAAATATTTAACTATACTGAATAAAGAGACTGCGCAGGCCTGGAGTGGGGTTTTTGCATTTTTCACTCTAGTCCAATGCACATAATGAAACACGTTTGGGACGACTCGTTTGTAAACAACATTGGATCAAACCACTGCAGGAAAGAACAGGTTGGTGAAAGACAGGAAGAGTTCAATCTTCAACCCAGCGAAAAAAGAAAGCATCTTTCAGCCGCATGTTGAAAACAGTAACAGCTATTTAAAAAGGGAAGTCTTCCAATTTATTTAAAATTGTTTGTTTTGATGACTAGTTGCTGATTAACATGGTTTATTCTCACACCAGCTCAAGAACAACAAGGGACTGTTTACTGCCCACTGATGCACTGATGTCAAATATCTGTTATTTTCCAGTGTGTGCACTCAGTATCTTCACAGGAAACTGGATTTAGAACAATTCTGTTTATTGGAAAGTGTTTTGAATTTTAATACCCAATGATAAAATAGTGATTCCCCAATAGTGTAATGCTGCTTATTTCCTTTACACCAATTGGTAGACTTTAACATGGCAGGTTTTCCCTTTGAAAAGAATAAGCCGTAAAAAAAAAAATACAATCACACAGATTTACAGTAAGCACCGGTTTTTGGGTGTGTATGAGTGTGCGCGTCTGTGTTATTGCGAAGCGTGTGTGTGTTCTGTACGACATCGAGCTCATTTAAAAGGGCTTTCTTCCTCTTCACAAATCCTGCTGCCAGCTCCCCTGTGGAGCGAGGTCTTCAAACTCAGTCCCGAGCGCCTGCAGCGCCTGCCGTCTCCTGCTGACTCTCAGGGAAAGATATGGCCCTCATCATGCCTTTGCTACTGAGCTGTGAAATATCCTACCTTGAAGGAAATTTCATACTGTTCTCCTCCCCAGATTTCCAGGCCGGTGTCGTAGCCTCCAAGCTCCCAGAACCACTTTCTCTCCACGGCGAAGAGCCCCCCAGCCATGACAGGAGACCTAGGAGACACCACAAAGCTCAGGCTGGCTCGGGGAGACAGGAAGGGACAGCGCCTCCAGCTCATGCAAGCCTGCAGAGCTTCTCAGCTGAGCTAGGAAAACAGCAACCTCTGTGCTTGCCCCGCTGCACCAGCTGCCAGAGACTTTTAAAAGACACTCATCACTGATGAAGTTCGGAATGGCATGGCACGGTACCAGGATGCAGAAAGGACCTTCTACCCACATAAACTGCCATGACACCCTAGGTGTGAGAGTGTGTGTATTTGACTGTGTGTCTGCCCTGTGATGGACTTGTGTCCTGTCCGGGATGTACCCTGCCCTGGCCCAGTGTGGTACTGACCAGGAACAACCTGATTATGGATGCATACATATATCTGTGTCCCACAAGTCTCAGCTGCTGCAGTCTCTTTCACGTTTTTTTTAAATTTCACATTTTTTTCAAGTCAAAATAAAAAATATATATTTACATCTTTTTATGACATTTTTATTTTATCCTGATTTTCTTCCTTAGTTTGTAATGATCCTGGGTACCTTTATATGAAAGCTGCTATATAAACAAAACACAAGAGCACTAATAAATAACTTTATTAGTAATTAAAGTGCCAAGCAAAGCAAATTGCACCAGATTGCTGCCAACACGTGAAATAAAACTAATTTAGAGTCCCACGTATATCAAAGCCTATAAACTTCAAAGTACTTTATTGTTTATGCACAGTTCAAATTTTATTGTTATATTTATGGGCCATTTGTAAGAAGCAAACATTTTAATACAGTAAATGAATTCTGGAGCCACATTTGTAGTGAGAAGTTGTCTGTGAGTTCCTGAGAACCGTTCTTCAGTAATTGAATCATGTAAGATGCTGAAAATTAGACACATTAAGCAAATTATTTTGGCACGTTAGATAGCTCAGCAAGCTTAAGTAACTTGCTAAACCTCCTTTTTAAGAAGGTACTGATGCGACCTGCTCATCTTCTCTCAGATACAACCTTTTATTTGTTCCACTTCCAATACGTGGAAGTGTAATGGGCAATTTATTTATTATCCACAACTGTGCAACAGTTACCTACTCTGTGCAATATGCTTGGGAGTGTGCAATATCTATACTGTGTATTGCATCTTTTTTTGTGTGTGCCTTTTCTGTTTTGTTTGTAATTCTTTATTCTGTTTAAAAAAATGTATTTATTATATTGTATTACTACATTTGAACTGTACTGTGTTTATTGTGCCTGGCTGCTGTAGCAGTTGAGTTTCCCTCATGGGATTAATAAACCCATATTTATATTTATAAACCTACCTACCTCAAATTCTTTTCCCCTCTTCAACTAAGAACCGGTTTGCGAGGGCCTCGTCCACATCAATAAGGTCACACGCTTTCACGATAAAATCTGAAGCTCTAGGACTTTCATGAGTAAACGCAAACTAAGCAGGTATTAAGTAGAACTGTTAATTATGAGTCATTAACAGAGTATTTATTTTTTATGATCAGAGGAATAAAAATTACACCCTACAGTGGACTGAAATCTACTCAACAAGCTGTATTCAAATAAAAAAGTTAATAAAAGCAATGATATAGAAAGTAATCGTTTTAATTGGACACTGGCAGAGGTCCCTTGTATACTGTATGCCACAGGTTAGATCTGGATCTGTTTAGTCCAGGGACGACTAAGAGAAGATGCACAGTATACGGCACTAAAGCCATTTTCTGCCTTTAGTAACGTCTCATCGCAGACCCCCCTCTGACAGGGTTTGCCGTCCGAAGAACAATGAAAAACAATTAGCCGGGCTGAGAACTCTAACGAGGTCGTCACCAGTGTGCCTCCACCTGGTTTTAATGGGCTGCTGAGCGAGCCGGCATCGCAGTTCCACCTCCGTCGTCACGGTAACGGCACCAGCGAGCTCAGGGTGTGGGAGAGCGGGAAGAAAAAAGCCAGCAGAAGCGCTGGCACGCTCTGGACAATGTGACACGCTCTGGACAATGTGACACGCTCTGGACGGTG